TGATGATCGACGCCGAAGCCGCCGCGAAGCCTTCGCCGCTCGTGGAGGCCATCGCCCCGTGGCAGCAGGCGCTTGGGATTGCGTCTGAGGGGACCGTGCTACCGTGGCAGCCTCAGCAATGTCCTCGAGTGTTCCAGGAAGCTCCAGGAGGTTCAAGGAGACACTCAGGAGACTCCAGAGGGCCCGAGGCCCCAGGAGGCTCCAGGAGGCCCCAGGAGGCCTTCAGGAGGCCCTAGGAGGCCTTCAGGAGGCCCCAGGAAGTCCCAAGAGGCGCCAAGAGGCTCCAGAAGGCCCTCAGGAGACCCGAGGAGGCCCCAGGAGGCTTCGGGGCTTCAGGAGGCCTTCAGGAGGCCTTCAGGAGGCCCGAGGAGGCCCGAGGAGGCCCCAGGAGGCCTCTGAGAGGTCCAAGAGGCACCCAGAGGCACCAGGAGGCCCCTTCCGCGGCTCGTCGGCGGTCCGTCGGCCCATGACCCATCACGGACCATTTAGCCGTCGGTGGCCCGTAAATCAGGTCGCTCGCTTCGAGCTCGGCTCCCTGTCGCCGTGCGTCGCCTCATCATTTGGTCTCCGTCATCCTCATCCCCATCCCTCATCCTCATCCTCATCCCTCATCGCCTCATCGTCATCCTCATCATCCTATTCCTCCTGGTTCTCCTGATCAGCCGTTCTGTCCTCATCCTCCTCCTCATTCCTCGTCCTCCTCCTCCTCCTCTGCCCGTGGGGGTAGCTGCCCCCTTTGGGGGCAGCGAAACCCACGGGCTAGCGCTTGCCGCACGCTGGCGATCTCCTCGTTCATGGCGAGGAGGAGTAGGAGGAGGAGGAATAGGAGTAGTAAGAGGAGGAGGAGGAGGAGGAGGAGGAGGAGGAGGAGGAGGAGGAGGAGGCGGAGGAGGAGGAGGAGGAGGGAATGGGGGAGAGGCACACCAGCAACGCCGCCAGTGCATACGCCCGCCCCGACGCTAGTCCTCCTCCCATCCTCCTCCTCTCGTCCTCGTCCTCGTCCTCATCCTCTTCCTCCCTCCTCCTTCCTCCGCCGCCGCCTCCTCCTCCTCCTCCTCCTCCTCCTCCTCCTCCTCCTCCTCCTCCTCCTCCTCCCCCATCTGGCCTCATATCCTCACACCACCCGCCGCATACCCGCAGCCGCATATCATACCCTCATACTAGAACTCGCATGTAATCGTTATGTTTGATGAATCATAGAAGCGAGAGGCGAAAGGCGAGAGGCGAGAGGCGAGGGGTGGTGGGGGGATGCGGGATACGTTGGCACGCGGCCCTGCCACTTCCGGCTGGGAACCATGGTGGGGGCAGCTGGACAGTGACGGGGTGCGAGATTTCAAGGGTGCACGCTGCCGCGGGGTCCGATTTACAGAGGTTCGCACGCCGACCGCTAATTTTTCAAAGCGAAAGCCCTCACAAAAAGTGCGTCTTTCGCGATCTGGCCGGGGACTTCTTCGATCGCACATGATGTGCAAACCGTCCACCCCGGTGCGTTGACTGAAGCCCCCCCGTACGTTGACCGAGCTACCCCCCGCACGTTGACTGAACCACCCCCGTACGTTGACTGAGACCCCCCGCGTGTACGTTGACTGGGCCACCCCATACGTAGGCAGAAGAACCGTCACTGCGTACCCCGCCGACGGGCCGGGGCAGAATTGTGTCAGGACCCAATGCTCTCCTTTACGGATCCGCCCAGCTCAGCTTGTTACAGCTCTGGGAATTGTTGGCCCGCCCCCTCAGCAGACCAAACCCAAAAACTCTGTCCGAGACCCTTCGCAGGACCTCCGAGTCCACCATGAGCGCGCTTCGCCCCCCCTCACCCCCCTTAGGCGCAGCGAGAAAACCCGATGCGTCATGCCAAGGGGGGGAAGGAGGACGGAGGAGAGAGGAGAGTAAAGGGATGATGGAGCGGAATGAGATTGGAAGGTGGAGGGGGGGAAGGGAGAGGCGCAGAGACAGAGGGGGCAGCAGACGCTGGGCGCTGGAGAAGAACGAGCGAGGGGGCCCGAGTAGCTGGCTCTTCGTGGGCCGCCCGATCTTTCAGCGTGTCTGCTCCGAGCCCTCTCGACACCTGGCCTCTTCGTGTTTGGCCGCGCACCCTTGAGGTGTACGTCTTCCTTGCCTGCCGCGTGTAGCTGGCGCGGCCCCTGAAATAGGAAGAGGACGAAGAACGGCAAGGGCGGGACAGCGAGGCAGGGGGGAGGCCAAGAGGAGGGAGGGGGGCAAGAGGGATGGAGGAGGGTTGAGGACGAACAAAGTCAGAACGAGAGGGCCGAACGGTCATTCAATGTCCCCGGGTGCGTGGCTGAAGTGGGGCTCCGAGCTGCGGATTGCTGTTGCAATGCGTTGACTTGCGTAATTGATGTTGTCGTCCCACTCGCGAGCCGGCCCGCGACCCACCCGCGACCCGCCCGCGACTCACCCGCGACACGCCCGCCCCACTCCCGCGACCCACCCGCGACCCACCCCGCGACCCACCCCGCGCCAGCCCCCTCACTCTCATCCGCAAGAGTGGGGTGCTACACATATTTTGCAGGAGAATGTGGGAGCGAGGAGTAGGACGATTGGCGGGCGGACCCTAGCGGCCGGGCTAGGCGGGCGGATCTGAAGGGGAACTGGGACAGACAATCAACAAAGTACACACGAATGACCAGATCCCCAATATGTGTCCCATATGTTCTGGGTTTTTGTGTTCCCCCCCACTTCCCATATTTTCCTATATTTCGGGGGAGCGTAAGACCCGGGTTTGCCAGGACTCGGGTTCGCCATCGTTTTTTGACGACCGCGCCTCGGATTTTGACGAGGAGGAGTTTCGTGGGATGTCTGCAGCGGGAGGCCTCGTCAAAATGCAGGCTCGGCCTCGTCATTTTTTTCACGACTTCGTCGGGGATTTCCGAGTCCCCTGTACCCAGGTCTTACGTCCCCCTGAATATTTTCTGGGGAATCGACGATTCATCGTGTCTGTGTGTGTTTTTTCCCCCTCCCGAGGATCGAGCGGAGCGGGCCGGGCCCTCCACGGCAGGACGGCCGGGCGGGGCAGCAGAGCGGGTACACCCTGCGAAATGCCTAAGAACTCATGGGTTAAGAAATTCCAGCCAAGCCGACCTTGAGCAACCTCGTAATTGAGTCGAAGGGAAGCCCCTTCCCTTTGATCCCTCCCCAAGCAACCTCGTAATTGAGTCGAAGGGAAGCCCCTTCCCTTTGATCCCTCCCCCGCCGGGTGGGGGGGGGGGGGGTGTCGACCCCCCCCCCGGGTCAGATACGACGCCCCCCCCTGGGACTCCTCTTCCCCTGGGCTTCAGCCAAGCCGACCTTGAGCAACCTCGTAATCTCTTGCTGCGCATTGCGAACAGGGTCGGCGGCACCGGCCGTCAGGCCTTCGCAATCATGGGTCAAGACATTCCTAGTCTCAGAACTTGAATAAAACCCAACATTTCCATCCAAATCTTAGGATTCACATGGAAACATTAAGACAAATCGAGACCCTGGCCGAAGACGTAAGTTTTCTTAAGCATCGCCTAAGGTGTAGGCGGGCTTCTATAGGCAAGAGAGCGGGCGGACATCCCGACGAGCAGGGCGGGCGGGCGGCCGCTCGCGGGCGCCTCGCGCGGGCGGATCACGGCGGGCGGGTTCGGGCGGGCGGACCTCGGAGCGCCCAATGTTGCCCCGATACGCGGCACGCAACGCGTAGCGTATCGATACGGAGCTCAACACGTACACCCTGCGAAATGCTTAAGAAATCATGGGTTAAGAAATTCACAGTCTCAGAACTTGAGTAAAAACCCAAAATTTCCACTCAAATCTTTAGGATTTACATGGAAACATTAAGAATAATCAAGACCCTGGCCAAACAAGTAGGTTTTCTTAAGCATCGCCTAAGGTGTACGCAGCACGCAACGCGTAGCGTATCGATACGGAGCTCGACACGCAGGCTGAAGACGCAGGTCCGGCGCGACACGTTCGCCAAAAAACGTGGCCCAGCACGCGGAGCCAACACGCCACGGATCGACACGGTCGTCTCGAACACGGGGCGCGTTGCGCTTCAAAACGGGCGTATCGAGGCAGCTAAGCAGAGAGCGGGTCGACGGTACAGTTAAAGCGCGTCGGCGGGCTTGCAAGCAGGTGCACGGGCGGACCCTCGTGGGCAGGCAGGGCGGGCGGACCCTAACGGGAGGGTCGGGCGGGCCCTATGACAGGGCGGGCCGGTCGGGCGGGGCATGGTAGCGATCTTCGGAATTGTGGAGAAGTCCCTGGCGAGACCACGTTTCCCGAGTAAGTTGCTAGAGTTCTCGTGCGAGGGCGCGCATCCTGGGCGTCGAGAGCGCAACACCGGAAAAATTGCATGGAAGTCATGGGCGAGAGCGAGCTGCCTGTGTGTTGTAAGGAAGTCTCGAACGAGAATGCAATTTCACGAAATCCTGGAAGGCTGTCAAGCGGGAGCCGCTGCTGGTGCAGCCAGGGGCCGAGGGGTGCAAATCGAGGTTCAAGACAGAAGGTGCGAACCCGCGGTGGCGAAAAGTATGCCGGCCGGTGGGTATGAAGAATATGCCAACCAGTGAGGTGTGGTGCGATGATATGAACTCTTCAAAATTGGATCTTCAAACATCAAATTCCAAGTGCCCCCCCCACCTACCCCGACTTTCTTGACCGTGCTTCTGTTTCACATTGCGGGCCCTGGGGCTCCCGACCCCCTCTGGACTGGTTTGGACCCCCGCCGCATTGTTTTCCTCTTGTAGGTCCCGAGGCGTGGAAGCGGCCACCAAATGTCTCAAACGAAAGAACTTGAACAGCACCCGTCTTAGACAGCTCGCGGCGCCCTGGGGTCCGAGCCCCGCGCCTCAACATGAACCCCATGGGCCTGTTCCCGAACAGTCTCCGGCAGGCATTTCGAGGCGAGCCTGGCCGTGGCAAAACGAGAACCTCCGAGAAGAAAACGGCGGAACCAGTTTGGGAGACTCGGCGACAGGCTCCGAGGCAGCGAGGGGGAGCCCCCACCCCTCAGCCTGATGGCCACCAGGCCCTGACGAGCACGCCCAGACCACGACCACGGCCCGGTGGTGGCGTCCTCTCCCCAGGGGGGGGAGGGGGAACCCTCCTCGGACGGGGCCTCGCGTTCCCCGTTGCCTGGTGGACGCGGGGGCAAACCAGCGATGTCGACGACGGCGACGGAGGAGGACGGCGGCGCCAGCGACCGACAACGACGACTGCGACCACAGGAGACAGGACAGAGGGAAGAGCGGACAGCGGAGGCAGGCCAATCCGCTCCCCTCAGGAGGAAGGAGAAGGGGGGAGCGACGGAGGGAGAAAGGGGGTGGAGACGTGGAGGCGGTGAAGCCTGACGGAAGAAGGACAGGGGGAGGGAGGGAGAAAGGCGTCACAGGCTCGGAACCCTGCTGCCTCCTCCTGGTTCCCCTCCATCCCCCCCCTCCCCTATCCCTCTGTCCTATCCCTCTGAACGTGAGACGGCGGTGTCGACGGCGTCGGCGGCAGCTCGGACGACGGCCACGGGCGGTGAGGGAAACGACGACAGCCCAGCGCGACGACGACGACAGCGACGATTGCGACGACGATGATCGCGACGACGACGACGGCGGCGGCAGCAGCGACGACCACAAGAGATCACTGACGGCGACGACGACGACGACGACGACGACGACAACGGCAGCGGCGACGACGACGGCGACGACGACGACGACGACGACGACCGACGACCGACGAAGACAGATGACGACCTTTGACCGACGACGACGACGACGACGACGACGACGACGACGGCGGCGGCGACGACGACCGCCGAACAACGGCGACGAATGACGACGACGACGACGACGACGACGACGACGACGACGACGACGGCGGATGAGCATGAAGACGACGACGACCGACGACGAACGCGTCGACGACGATGGCAAGTACAGGCGACGACGGCGAGCCACGACCGACGACCACCGACGACTTCCTCGAAGCTGTCGTCGGATATGTTTGATCACGGGGCCTTGGCGACCACACTCCTCGACTTTGTGGTGAATTCGCAAGAAACCCAAAAGTGGGGGGCAAACTCAAGGATTCAATCCTCGATGTGGCATGCGTCCGAACAGACCACCGGTGTGTGTTCCCAGGTGATCATGTTTTCCCATCGGTCAACCTGTGTCCGGAGGAACCTGGGGACCAGGGGCGAAATACATTGAAGTCATTGGAAGACCCGAACTATTCTGACAACTCAAATGCCTCGATACTTTTTTCACCGCGCTGAGGCCCAGATACGGCCCAAAGAGGACAACAAGGTGCGCATGTTTCTTAACTTTGGTAAGACGCTTTTCTTTGATCGACGCATAGGCACCGCATTGCATTGGTTGCGTGAAAATGGCCGGTGGAGTCAATACTGGCTTGGCTGGGATGCTATCGGTTCCCACCTCGAACAAACGGTCGTGCGTAAGACGTGCCACAACATAGCTTTCAGAGGGGTACCATTAAGCCCAGCCTCGGGAATGGGGTAGACTTTAACTCTTTTGGGGGAGATCTCTTAGCCAGCGTGGACCCCGAACTGTGACTCATTGAACTCTGGAGGTCTAAGTTCTGTGTAAACCATGTGGTGTAAGCTATGTGGTGAAAGCTATGGTGTCTAGGCAAGGTGGTGTGAGCCACGCTATGTGACCTGCGCGGTGCAAACTATGCGATGTAAACTACGCGATGTGAGCTATGTGGTGTAGGCTCCGTGCTGCATGATGTGCGCTATGTGGTGGCGCGGGCGGCCACCAGGCAACATCTCTGCGGACCCACCCTGCGCACGGGGCGCTCACGCGGCATCCACGGGTGGCCATCCAGCGACACCTCGGCGGAAACAGGCAGTGCACGAAGCGCCGACGAGGCGCCCAGGAGGCGCCACCTCGGTGGGCACAACCAACGCCATCGGCGCCCACCAGGCGCACACGGGCGGCCACCAGGCGGAACCTCGGCAGACCGAGCCGGCTCACCGGGGGGCCCACGAAGCGCCCACGGGCAGCCGCCCGGCGCAACCTCGGAGGACCCAGCCAGCGCACGGCGCGCCTACGAGGCGCCCACGAGCGGCCGACACGCGATGTCTCGGCGGATCCAGCCAGCGCACGGGTCACCTCGGCGGACCCACCCAGCGCACAAGGCGCCCACGAGAGGCCTTCGCGCGGGCACATGGCGAAACCCTCTTTGCGGGCCAGGCACTGCCTGGAACGCATCGAGTGCAGCATGTGTGGTGCAATGTGTGCAATGCAGTCGATGTGGTGCGAACCATGTGGTGCGATATGTTGAAGGGAAACTGGGACACACAAATAAATACACACAAATAAAATGATTCCCCATATTTTCCCATATTTTATGGGTTTTTGTCTTCCCCCCCACTTCCCATATTTTCCCATATTTTCTGGGAAACCGCAAATTAATTGTGTCTGTGTGTTTTTTTCCCTCCTGATATGTGTAGTCCAGCCTCTGCGATGCACCCGGAACGGCCAGCCCGCGAGCGGTGCGGCGACGAGGCGGCGGCGGGCGCCCGCCTTGGCGGAAACCAAGGGAACCCAGCATGCGCAAGGGACGGCGACGAAGCTGCCATGGGCACCTCGCGCGCGAGAGCCCGCGGAGCCCAGCCGTCGCAGAAGGCGGCAACGTGGCGGTGAAGCGCCCACCATTGAAGGGGCCCCAGGACACACAAATAAATACACACAAATAAAATAATTCCCCATATTTTCCTATATTTTCTGGGCTTTTGTCTTCCCGCCCACTTCCCATATTTTCCCATATTTTCTGGGGAATCGACGATTAATTGTGTCTGTGTGTTTCTTTCCCTCCTGAACCATGGGAAAGCCCTGGACACACAGCCAACACAGGGTGCGGCGACGAGGCGGCGACGAGCGGCTGTGGTGCGAAGACCGGAGCACAGCAAGCGCACGGCGGCGACGACGCGGCGAGCGGCGCTCCCCGTTCGGAACCCCGGGGGGGCCCACCCCATCACTCCAGGAAAACAAAATAGGAAGCCCTTAATGCAAACACTGCTTGGGGAAGAACCAGGCGTCCTGATCTGCCAAAAAAGCTCGAGGTCTGGGTCCTGCAAAAGGCGACGACGGCGACGGTGGCGGCAACCGCGATCCCCGATCCTCGATCATCGCCGCTCGAGCTCCGATCCTCCAGCATCGACGCTCGCACCTCGACTCTCGAGCCTCGAAGGCTGCGACGGCGACGGCGGCGGCGACCGCGACGACGACGACGCCGACGACAGGAGACTACAACCATCGTGTTACTATACACCCTGCGAAATGCTTAAGAAATCATGGGTTGAGAAATTCATAGTCTCAGAATTTGAAATCAAACCCAGAATGTCTATTCAAATGTTAGGACTTACATTGACACATTAAGAGTAATCGAGACTCTGGCCGAAAACTTGGGTTTTCTTAAGCATCGCCCAAGGTGTACGGGAGGCCAGAGAAGGACCGAAGGGGCTCTTCAGACCACGGCGCGCCTCGGCCACGAAGGGGCTCCCCGACCAAGAGACCTCGGGAGCGGCCCGACCATCAGAGCCCCCCCGTGGGCCCCAAAATGGTCCTTAGCTCAGCGCCTTGGCAGTATCGGGTCGGGCGAAAGGGGGGGATAGCAAAGGGGGGGTTTGAGAATCAGCTTGCGTAGCTGATTTTCCCAGCGCCTCCCGGCGCCGGGAGGCGCCCATGTCTCGAGGAATGGGCCCGGCGGCGGGGCGGAAACCAGCTGCGTGCAGCAGATTTCGTAACCCCCCCTTTCCCTATCCCCCCCTTTTGTTCGGCCCGACTGTAGCGGCGGCGGCTGGGCGCTCCTCCTCGCACCCGGGCGTGGCGACGTGTCTGCCCTCGGCACCGGCACAGGGCAGCCCGCCGCCGCCGCCGTCGGCGCCGCGGTCGCCGTCGTCGACGGAGTTGTCGTTGTCACCGCAGTCGTCGAGGGCTTCGTCTGCGTGTCGGAGGCAGCGGAGGACGACGACGACGCCGCCGTCGCGGTCGCTCGCCGTTGTCGCCGCCGCCGTCTTCGATGACCGCGATTCGAAAGTCAGAAATTATGAAGTCGCTTGGCTTGTAGGCGTCCGGGGACCTCTATGGACCGCGGTGGAGGTCACCTCGGGCCGTGGGAAGCACATGTACCACCCTTGTTGGTGCACTGGAACAGCCCTGTACCCTGTACGCAGTCGTCTCAAACGACTCCAACGGCTGCACGGATGGAGGGTAGCTCCTGTTCTCTTCAACGGGCCCTCGCTGTGCGTTTTCTCGAGGTTCAAGACGAGACCCTTTAAACTTCGCAGCGGCTACACGGATAGACGCATGGGCATGGAAGGCGTTGAGCTCGTGACACGGGTCAGTCTGATGCAGCTCATGGCTGCGCTTGGCCGCTAAGTCCAGCGGCGCTGCTGTTGAATATTCGAAGCTTGCGATTCGGTGTGGCGCTGAGCGGCATTTGTGCGAACCGCGCAACCAGCGCGGCTACGCAACAGAGCTTTGCGGGGCCCGTGTCGGTCCCCAACGGGCGAGACAGGAACGAGGAGGTGGCTCATACGGTCGAGGAGTATGATCTGAAGGAAACCCACCAAAAATTGTACTCGCGTGCGGTGGCCAGACAGGTCATACCTGGAAGCTGTTGCCGAACGACCCCGATGTCCCAGTTGGAGGTGATAGGGGGGAGATCGAAGAGGAACGGAAAGCCCCCCGACTGGAAAATCCGTTTCGGTTTCGTGTTCGTGCGTGCCGTGCGTGCGGGCGAGGCGTAGCTTCGTGGGCGGGCGAGAAGAAAGTCTCCTCCGGCTGAGGCGCGGCCGGACCAAATGATTCCTTTCCGGGGTCCGGTGGCCCGCGGTGTCCCGCAGGTGTCCCGCCTGTGGCTGAAGCGCGGCTGGACCAAATGATTCCTTTCCGGGGGCCGGTGTCCCGCGGTGTCCCGCTAGTGTCCCGCCGGTGTCCCGTCGGTGTCCCGATGATGATGTTGATGATGATGGGATGATGATGAGATGATGACGATGATGGGGTCCCGATGATGATGTTGATGATGATGAGAATGATGAGGTTGATGGTGATGATGTGGGTGATGATGATGGTGGTGTCCCGATGGTGATGATGTTGATGGCGATGATGATGACGATGATGGTGTCCCGATGATGATGATGAGGAGGTGATGATGATGATGATGATTTGAATGATGGTGGTCCACTGAAAGTGATCATGATAACGATGATGATGCTGATGTTGATGATGATGGTGTCCCGATGATGCTGAAAATGGTGATGATGATGTTGGTGACGGTGGTGATGGTGTCCCGATGATGATATTGATGTTGACGATGATGTTGTTGGTGATGATGATGGTGTCCAGGTGACGATGATGAAGTTGATGATGGTGTGCTTGATGACAATGGGATGATGATGATGGTGGCGGTCCGATGATGCTGATGATGGTGTCCCGATGATGATGATGTTAATGATGCTGATGATGACTATGGCGGTGTCCCGGTGATGATGATGATGTTGATGATGATACGGTGGTCGTGATGATGATGGTGCCCCGATGATGATGATGATGTTGATGACGCTGATGACGATGATGTTGGTGATGATGGCGTTGATTGTGAGATCGTTTGTGACATCGATAGTGGGATCGATCGTGAGACCGAATGTGACATCGATTGCGAGATCGGTAGTCAGATCGATGGTGAGATCCATTGCGAGATCGATCGTCAGATCGATTCTGAAACCGATCGAATGAAATCGATCGAGTGATATCGATTGTTAGATCGATCGAGTGAGATCGATCGAGCGAGACCGATGGTGAGATCGATAGTGAGATCGATCGTGAGACCGATCGGGTGGGACGTTGGTTCCTCCCTCCCGAACCTCCTTATCACCCGAAGGGTGGTCGTATACATACCTATACGACCACCCTGCGGGTGATAAGGAGGTTGGGGGGGAGAGGGGGCAAACAATGGGCAAAAGAGGTGATTGTGGTTCTGACGATGCCTGCGGGGCGGAGTCCAGCGAGGAGTGCGATTGTGATCGCGAGTGTGATGCGATGTGGCGATGTTGAGAAGCGCACTCGACATGATCGGTCTCACTGTCGGTTTCACTAACGGTCTCACTTTCGATCTCGCTCGATCGATCTCACAATCAATATCAATATCGATCTCATAATCCATCTCACATTCGGTCTCACTATCGATATCACGATCGATATCACAATGGATCTCACAATCGATCTCACATTCGGTATCACTATCGATCTCACGATCGATATCACTATCGATCTCACAATCGATCTCACATTCGGTCTCACGATCGATATCACGATCGATATCACAATGGATCTCACAATCGACCTCATATTCGGTCTCACTCTCGATCTCACGGACGATATCACTATCGATATCATTCGATCGATCCCACATTCAATCTCTCAATCGATCTCACATTCCGTCTGACTATCTGTATCAATATCGATATTACAATGGATCTCAGAAACGATCTCACAATCGATCTCACAATCGATCTCCCTATCGATCTCCCAATCGATCTCACATTCAATCTCACTATCGGTACCACAATGGATCCCACAATGGATCGCACAATCGATCTCACAATCGGTCTCACAATGAACATCATCATCAACATCAGCATCACCAACCACAACATCAACATCATCATCATCAACATCACCGTCATCATCATCATCATCAACATCATCACCATCATCATCATCATCATCATCATCATCATCATCATCATCATCATCATCATAAGCATCATCATCATCATCATCATCATCATCATCATCATCATCATCATCATCATCATCATCATCATCATCATCATCATCATCATCATCATCATATTTATCATCATCATCGGGACACCGGCGGGACACCGCGGGCCACCGGACGCCCGGGGCACAATCATTTGGTCCGGCCGCGCCTCAGCCACAGGAGACTGTCCTGACACCGGCGGGACACCGCAGGCCACCGGACGCCTGGGGCACAATCATTTGGTCCGGGCGCGCCTCAGCCACAGGAGACTTTCCTTTCGCCCGCCCACGCAGTTTCGCCTCGCCCGCACGCACGGCACGCACGAACACGAAACCGAAATCGATTTCCCGGTAGGGGGGCTCTCCGTTCCACTTCGATCTCTCCCCCCAATCTCCGATATATATATATATATATATATATATATATAGATATATATATATTATATATATATATATTGCGGAAAAGCTTCGCGGGAAGGCAACACGATCCCCCAATAGAGCGATGGAGTGGAAGAGCAAAAAGCAGGAGGCTCAGGGATGCGAAAGCAGAGGCGGCTACCCTAGGGGAGGTTCATCACAGGGTTTCTCGAGTGTTGTCTAGTATAGAGGACAAAAAATCGGCCCCCAGAATAAAGCACCCCGACAAGCGAAGCCGTTTAGTAAATGCACCCAAGGAAGGAATCGAACAAGGCAGGGCTGCTTAGTAAATGCCCAGGGCCGTTTAGTAAACGCCAATTGTCGGTGTCTGGGTAGTTTGCCTCCATTGATAGTAGCTGGACGATTCGAGCCCCAAGATACAAAGACTGCTCCCTCTCAGGGCTATGCACTATCCGCCCCTGTTGCCGTCGCAGAAAGGCGGAGGAAGAAGAGGATCCATGCTTCATCCGATAGAGGCAACTTGTTGTTCCACGACTGCGGGGTCGTAGAATTGGGCATAGTGGGCGAAGACCCCCCCTTGGACGAGCACCGAACACACCGATCGTGATGCGAGGGCCAGAAAGGTGCCGTTCACGCACATAGTTAACTGACAAGCTCTCCTGCAAGCACGCTGATTACGGTGTGCCGAAGTTCAGGAAATCACTGAAGATGATGACGGGTCATTGGTATCCTCAGACTCGGGCGAAGAGGTTGGGGAATATGGGTGGAGGGCTCGAGTGGGACGCGTGCCGAAAGCACAAGGGGAGGAGGAAAATAACATAAGGAGAGAGTGCAAGGAGGAGGGGGAGGTGAGGACGTGGTCGACGGACAGGTGAGATGACGATGACGCCGAGGACGATGAATTTGGCGAGCTCAAGGGCGACGAAGACGGAGGCAGGAAAGAGGACGGCCACGAGCACATAGGAGCAGGATAAGGAAGTGACGTAAGAAACGACCTGACAAGAACGGCACAGACGAACACTCGGTGGCGTGCTAAGAGGGGATGGCAAAGGAAGGGGGCGGACCGGTCTTCTCACGAGGTTGGAAGCCCTCTGAGAAGTGCCCCAAACCTTCTCCGAAACCCTGCCGCCTTCTCACAAGGCCTGCCCCTTCTCCCTTCTCCCCTGCCCCCCAAAGGCCCGCGGAGACCCTGGATAGGAGGCCACAAAGGATCTCCACGAAGACCCCACGCGGCCATTAAAGGCCTCCACGAGCCCATGAGAGGCCCCCCCCCCAAAGATCCCGAGAGGCTTCCCAGAGGCCTGCTGCCCATGACCCAGGAACGGTGGCGCGTCGGGGTTGAGAAAACTCTGCGGGACTCTGGTATCGCAACCATTCCCATCTATATTGTCCTAGGCAAGCGTAAAACCCTCGTCGACTGTCACCCGAACCGAACTCGTGCACGGGAACTTGCACGACAGATATCTCATCAACTGACTACGTGTCCAATGTTGAAAGCCTGCGCGATGGTGTGCACACGTGCGTCGATAAAATTTCAGGTGTGTATGCGAATATGCTGCCAACAATGTGTTGAATTCCAGCCGATCAGCTTGAAATCCAAACAACCAGTGGCGCACTAATGGCCACCTGTTCGCGGGGATATGATTTCGCAAGATGGGGCAGCAAGTAGGAAACAACAAATGAGCGTTTCGGGGGTCGTCGTGCGCCACTGGTAAATCCAATGCGTAATTAAGTGGGCCACTCGTGGGTTAAGTCCATTCGGAAAACCATTCGCGGCGGGTCATCCGCGCACCCGTTGGTGATGTCATTTGTGGCTAATGAGTGTGCCGGAAGGAACAGTGAGGGACTTCGCTTGCACTTGCGAAGGGGGCTCCTGCATGATGTGTCGCGTCAAGCCACACCGAAACCTTGGACGACGGCAACTCACCATTTGGCGGCAAGCCCGTGGGAACACAATAAATTTGCGCGCCCCGCGGGAACCTCAGGGGTGCCAAAACGGTGTGGCTACAGGCCGTGCGGTGACGTCGGAAACCCCGAAGACCTCACTACGCATTCCGCTTCCGCACTGTTTTGGGACCTTGAATGCCTACTGGTCCGAGACATTCTCGGCGAACGCGCAAGGTCCCAAAAGCGTGCGGTCAACCCGAATGTACGCTGCCTCACCATGCTGTGTGGTCGCCGCCGCGCCGCTTGGAGGGGCCCGGGAACCAGTCCACACACGTTCGTCACTTTTGGCCTGCGGCGGGTTGGTCAAACAAGCGGTCAAGGGGCGCAGGGGCGCGGGGGGGCGATGCACGATGAGAAATACGGCCGCAGGACGGCTGGAGAACCCTCCGATCGTGCAGACCCCAGGGATGCGCCTGGGAGCAAGCTCGCATTCACGACGCAGGCAATGCAACACGTGTTCGTCACACCGTCATGCCTGCAACGCACAGGTCCACAACATGCCACCTCGTGCTCGCCACGCCTCGCGGCGACGGCGTCGACGACGAGGGGCGGCGACCGCCGACGATGACGGGCGGCGAGACCGAGCCGGGCGAAGACGCCGCGCGTGGCGCAGGCCTTCTCGGTGCAGTACTCCGCCACGCTCCTGCCCTCCTGGACAGGCGGGGGGCTTCGCAAAAGGACTCGGCGCGAGGCGCGCCCCCCCTCCCCAGGATCGGCGCGAGGCGCTGGCCCGGGCGGGCGAAGGCTGCAGGCCCGCGCCCTGGTGCGCAGCAATCCCCGCCCGGCCCTGCGACTGACGAAGGGGTCCGTGCACGGCCAGGGTGCGCCCTCAGCAGGAGGAGGGAGCAGGAGAAGGGCGACGAAGAGGATGCGGAACGCGTATGTTCAGCAGCACTGACCATGGAGGAGGGGGAAGCTTGTCGTTGCTGGCGCACCGCCTCCAGCCCCACCGAGCAGAAACACAAGAGCGCAAGCACCACGTCGAAAACAGAGGAGACAGCGGAAGGGAAGCTGGGGAAGCAGGAGGACGACCGACGACGGCGACAAAGAAGACGACGGCGGCGGTGGCGACGACGACGAGGGCGAAAACGACGGCGGCGGCGATGGCGACCACGGCAGAAGCCGTCAACAACTTCCGCAACCCTTCTATTCGCGCTGAAGCGGCGGCGATCTGCTTCCCAAACGTACCTGGATTCGCCTCGGTTGAATTTGATGTATATGCACCGGCCTCGCTTAATCCAGCTTGATCCCCACAAGTCGATTTGCGAAACGTCGTCCGACCCATCAGGTCAGACGCTCCAGCTTGACGCGTCGCGGCGGCGGCCATGGCGACACGCTGCGCCCTGCGAGTGGATCGCGCGTCGCTCCGCTCCGCGGGCCGCCGGGCTCGGAAAGGCGCGGGGCGTGGACGCCTGGGGACTGGAGGTGGATGGGGCGACGGGCCGAAGCCAGGGCTACCCGGTGGGCCTGTCGAAGCCAGCTGTGACTACTCGGGGGGGCCTCCTGAGGCCAGCCAGGGCTACCTTGAGGGATTGTCTGTGCGAAGCCCGAGCCTGTTCCATTCCTCCTCCTCCTCCTCCTCGTCCTCCTCCTCCTCCTCCTCCTCCTCCTCCTCCTCCTCATCCCCCTCTCACTCCTCCTCCTCCTCCTCCTCCTCCTCCCCTTCCTCCTCCTCCTCCTCCTCCTTCTCCTCCTCCTCCTCCTCCTCCCTCCTCCTCGTCTCCCTCCTCCTCCTCGAGCGTGCCCGAGGCGGACCAAGTTCGATCATTTAACTGAAGGCCTGGCGACCTGATGCCGCGCGCATCGAACGGTCTCCTTTTGGGGGCGCTCGCTGATCGGGGCGGGAAGCTCGACGAATTCACTGTGAAGAAAAAGGCATGGACGGCGGGGAACAAGGACGAGCGAGAAGGGGCAGCGAGGCCAATACGCGCGATGGGGCAAGCGGGGAGCGACAAAAGAGAGGAGCACGAGGTGGCACGAGAGAACTGAGGGCAGCACCGCAGATGACGGAAGCTACAGGCATGCACACTGCCCGAATAACAATGGCTTTCCTGCTGGAAGGCTGAAGCTGTAATCCAGCCACCGCAGAGAGTTTTCAGCACGGCCGAGCACCAGGCAGGGGGGGGGGGAGGAGGAGCTGGGTCCGTACGTCATCCCACCGGATCGAACAGATCACGGCCAAGCGCTGGGGGAACCAATGCAGAAGTCTCTCCCGAAACAGGCCCATCAATTTGTCAGGAAACAGAGAGTGGGTTAACTGCTGACGAAGAAAACGTTGGGGATGAAGCGCATTAAGAGAAAGATGAGGTTCAGCACGTTGAATACCAATGACAGTTTGAACAGCTTGCTTAGCAGCGGCGTTGAGTTGCTTGTTCGAGAGGGACCCTATGGAGGCCTCACAAAGTATGGCAGCATGCGCGGGAGGTTGCCAGAAGGAGAGCCACGGAGTGCCAGGCACCGCGCGCGCAATCGAGGACTCCTCAGGACATATATCATAGTGCTCTTGGCATGCACGAGACCAGCTGGAGAAAGTCAATAGGCTCGCTCGCGCCATCTGGGATAGGTTAACCAGCTCCAAACTTTTAACTCTCGGCCCGCCCCACGAGACCAAGACCGGCCAGGCTGCCTCGGTCAACCTGCAAAACGGTAAGTTAAAAATGCTCGTGAGCAGCTTGAGCACTTGTTTCTGGAGCGCCACTGGGAGGGTTTGGACTTGGCCCACGTGCGATAACACCGGCCGGAAGAACTCTAGAGTCAAAGAGCAGGCCCGCACTCTGAGCAGCGGCACCCTGGCGAGAAAGCTCCCGAGCACGACCCAAGTATGTCCGAAACGGTTTCGTTCAGGAAGTGAAAGGGGTAGCTTCGGGGCCACTCCACGTCCCAAGGTATAGAACATATCCGACGATCGAGAAGTCGCTCCACTCGGGGGGCGCCCCTCCCCATGCGCACGCGGTAAAGCTCGGCGAGGGGTTCGCAGAAGGAACCGAGAGGGGGGACTTTGCACTTGGAGGTCTTGAGGTGAAGGTGGGCAAGGCGGGGCGCGTCGAGGGAATGCGAGGTAAACGTAGACGAGATCCACAATCCTGTAGATCACCGCTTCTATGTCGTCGGCACGCGCGCGAGCGATGCCTCGGGGATTGGGCGGGGGCTCGAGCGCGCCGCGCAGCTTGATGAGAAAAAGGCTCCGCGCCCATGGCGTGCAAGCCCCCGCTGGCTGGGCGCCCTTGGACGACCCCGCTCGCCGCCCAATAGAGATAGCGTTGCTCGCCACTAGTGGCCCCTAGGCAGGCGACTCACCAGTAGAGATGAAAGATCCGCGCCAGAAGGGGGGCCCGGGGGGGGAGGAGCGCTTAAACTTTTGACTCGTCCACTTTAGAGACATAGAAGGGGAAGCCTGGCCAACGTCGAAACTAATCAGAAGGGGGCGCCCCCTCTCCGCCTGAGGTTCCATTCCCGTTCTGCGCCCAGCCGCGTCTAACTCGACGACGTTGTCACCAAAATTCCGAGAAGGGACGAAACCGCGCTGAGCCTCCTGGAGGCCCCTCGGAACGGCGCAGGCAACAGGTTTGATAACCATGGCAGTGCTAATTTTGTCGTCACAATTCCGAAGCCTAAGAGGGCGGGCATCGGCACGCGCTCGGATGACACCGGCGCCCTGGTCATCAGCCTCGTCCCCCATTGGGGATAAAAACTCCAAGCGTGGCGTTGTAGTCGGGAGGCATGAAGTTCCCTGCGGAAATCCAGCGCATGCAGTCCCACAGGAGCTCCGCTCCTCCAGGGGTGCGCTGCCACGCAGCGCAAGGGATCCTGTCGGGCCCAGGGGCATTGTGTTGGAGTTCCTTGAGGAACGCAGAGAACTGTTTGAAGGTGGGAGGGGGGAGGTCGGTGCTATGAAGCTTAGGGGGGTGACCATCGAGGAACCTCTCGGCCCCCTCGGCATCAACTGGTTCTTCTCTGAAAACAGGACCCCAATGTGAAGCCAGCGCCTCCAACTCCTCAGTTGGCGCCTGCACAGTGGTCTGATCCGCGGCCCTAACTCCAGCGAGGGAAGTGCGCCGATCGAACGGAGACCAGAGACGCGCCAAACGATAGGCTCGCCGCGAGCGGCGCGCCAACCTGTCAGAGCGAGCCCGATCGGAGAGCTGTCGGGCAGCCGAAGCGATCGCAGGGCTGGGCGCTCGGGCCACCGCGCCGCGGAGCTCGTCCGAGAGGCGAGCGAAGGACGAGGGCGAGGTGAGGGAGATCGCCTTCGTCTCGCAGTCACTGTTGATGCGTTCGCGGCAGGGAGGACGAGGGCGCACGAGCTCCATGGCAAGACCGAGCTGCTGGCGAAAAACCGCACGGGCCATGCTCCCAGCAACCGGGCAGCGGGCGAGGAGGACGTTGGGTATCCTGAGAATCAGCGCGTCTCTCGCCATCCGCGCACACTCCAGGATCATGGATTTCAATCGGACCAAACTTGAACCAAACGGAATGGAGGAGAGTGGTGGAAAGATGGGGCGGGATCGAGCGTCTGCTTCATATATTGCTGGAAGATCGGAGCGCAGAGGACCTTCTTCGGGGTGGACCGCTGTCCCGACGGAAGCTCGGCTCGAAGCTTGAGCGTGGCCGCCACCGCGGCGTGGTCTGAAATCTTCTCGGCAGCTAGGAGTTCGGGCAAGTCTACCACCTCCCGCCCAGACGCGACTTGCAAAACGATCCAGCCAGGCAGCGAGGAGAAGACTCTGTCAATCAACGATAAGCTGCGAGTTTCGGCGTTGCAATGGAAAGGGGTGGGCAGCTCGAACTCTACAGAGTATTTGAGAACTCCCCGCCACTCGCGAGGAAAGGGCCAGAATTCGAAGTCAGATGCAATGCAAGGGGGGGGGGGGGGCCTGGGAAGTGCCAGCGCGAGCGCCAGCCGTTCATCGACGCAGGGAGGGGTCGACGCGAAGGGCGGGAGGTTGAAGCCACCAGAGGTAAACAGGATACGGTTAAGAGGATCTTCTTGGGCTTGGGACATGGCGGCACTTATTGAAGTAAGAAGGTGCCGTCGCTCGCCAGGAGACAGCTCAAAATTGCGAACGCTGATGTGCCGAATCCAATGCTAGCCGTTCTCTGCCTCGACCTTCGTGAGAAGCGCGCGCCCGGGGATGAAGATGGAGGAGGAGATGGTCAGCTGCTCCTGCCCGGATTTCTCCAGCCTCTCAGCTGAAGGGCATAAGAGCGGGACAATCGCGATCACGCCGCCGCCCTCGGCTTAAAAGGAAAGGGAAGCTTGAAAACAATATTGAAATGGTGCAACAGGTCGCTCAGCTCGCCCCCAGACCCGCGAGCTTCTTGGGTTGCAACGATGCTGCCACAGTGAAGCAACAGACGCAAGATGTGGATCTCGTCGTCGTGATGGAACAGGGCACGGGCGTTCCATGTCACGATGCGGAATGAGAATGAAGATAATCCCAAAGACGAAGAGGCACCGTGCCACGCGGCACTGCTGTTGCTAGGAACTCAACGCAGCCGGACTTGGACGCTCTGTCGCTTTCTGCACACTGGGCCCCATCTCAATCTGCTGGATACCATCAGCCACCAGATTGGCGGCTGCCCACTGGGCATCAGGAACATCTTCCGAGGGGGCCGGCATGAGCTTGATGGGGGGCCCCCAATGCGATGAA